AGACCTCAAATGGTGATTACATGACCACAGGATGCTGCAATGGCCACAACTATGAGGATCTGTTGTAATCCCCCACATTCAATGCTGTTGCAACTTTGAATGGTTACTGAACAAGGTGGACTACCTGTAATGTCCTTGTAACTGTTACGGGCAAACAAGTATATATACAACTTGTACAGTTAGTACTCAACCTATGACCACAATTGAGCCCAAAATTTCTGTTGTTAAGTGAGACATGTGTTAAGTGAGTTTTCTCCCATTTTACAATATTTCTTGCCACAGTTGTTAAGTGAATCACTGCAGTTGATAAGTTAGTACCATGGCTGTTAAATGAATCTTGCTTCCCCATTGATTTTGCTCATCAAAAAGTTATAAATGGTGAGCACATGACCTTGGGACACTGCAGCCATCATAAATATGAGGCAGTTGCCAAACATCTGAATGTTGATCACATGATCATGGGGCTGCTACAAGGTCGTAAGTGTGAAAAAATGGTCATAAGTCATTTTTAGTGTTGTTATAACTTTGAACGGTCACTAAATGAACTGTCATAAATCGAGGACTACCTGTATACAGTTTAGCTTTGACAGACCCAACTCTGATGCCTTTTGAAAACATAGTGAGCATTGAATTCGCTGAACCTGGTTTAATAAGTCTAACTGGACTGTTATCTTGCATTATATACAGTATATATACAGTATATACGTGTGGTGTGTGTGTGTGTGTGTGTGTGTGTGTGTTTGTGTGTGTAGAAAGGTAAACAGTCATATGATTATTTTTCTGAGAAAAAAGGTTTCCACAGAAACAAAGTACAATCCTTCTCTATCTTAGTGTACTTTGAAGGACTCTATTGATGATTGTTTATCTGTAGCTCAAAGCAGAGATGTTAAAAGAAGCAAATCCATTTTGTAAATAGGGGGTTCTATAATGAAACAGAACAGCAAAAGTTGTGACTGTACATACCTATTCACGCATGCATTCACACATGCACAAACACACCACATAGACACAAATGCAGAGTAGTTCTAATATTTAGGAAATTGCAAAAGAAAGTGTTTACAACCGGCTCTTCCTCCTCCCCTTCTTCATCCTGTTAGCCTGAAGAAGCACTTACCATTGTAACCTTCCAGCACAGAGTCGATAATTGGCCTTGCAGTCAGGTTATAGACGTCGAGTTGCTTGCTCTCTGGCCCAAATACAGTATCAAAAGTAAATGTCTTGGGAGGTTCATTGGAAGAATCTGTTTTATGCACAGTAATAGTGCCTCTCATTTCATCAACATTGACAGCCATTTTATAGCACATGGTCTTCTCCCGCTCATTGAGCGGCCGGCAACGAACCACAACTTTGACATTATCCAAATTATCAGGTTTGTCCGGCTTTTCAGATCTGTTGATCTATATGGAGAAAGAAATGCCCCGTAATTATTCAGCAAAACCAAGATACCAAAACATGATTACAGCTGTAACACAGAGAAAAAAAAATAAAACACTTCCTGAAGTAATTTGGTAATAACTATTTTTGGAAAATATGAGATACTCTATTTTTGGATTATATTTAAGTGGCCACTAAAAAAACAGTAAGGAGCACCAAAATGTTTTATGAAATATTTTTGCATTTGATCTGGCAAGATTTTCTTGCAGATAGGCCCAATAAAGGTATTTTACAGGGGTATTAAACAGGGGTCCCCAACCACCGGGCTGTAGCCCACTACCAGGCAATAGTCTATTCGCAACTGGGCACAGGCCGGTGCATGTGTGCATGTGTGCAGCTTAATTGATGCAAGCGACAGACTGGCGCACACACAAAGTTTGATGCGAGCAGTGGGCTGGCATGCACACACATGTGCATGCAGCACAACTTGCAACTGAGCTGCATGTGCATGTGTAAACTGGGCCACCACTCATGCAGCCCGGTTACTTCTCCCCCCTCCCCCAAGCCAGGCTTCCAAGCCATGAAGGTTGGTCCCACTGCTTTAGATATTTTAGAAGAAATGTATTTTTTTCCTTTTAAAATATAGTTTTCATCTAATACACAAATTTAAATAATCTGCAGAATGCGTTTCCCTTGAACTTTTATTATCTTCTGGCTAGATACTGATAAGGCGATTGCAGTTTCCCGGGGTCATGCCATCATCTTTTGGGCCTTACTGACAAGCAAAGTCAACGGGGAAGCCACATTCACTTAACAATCATGTTACTAACAATGGCAGTGATTCACTTAACAACCCTGGCGAGAAAGGTCGCAAAATGGGACAAAACTCACAGAAACAACTGTCTCGCTGAGCAACGGAAATTCTGGGCTCAATTGTGGTCGTAGGTCGAGGAGAACTACCTGTAACTGTTAACCAGCCCTAGGTTTAACGTGTGAGGTCAACGAGGGGCAGGGTCGTCCATCCCATCTGGATGAAGTGGGGAAGGTTACCTTAACCAGAGGCCTGGCGTCTCATGGGCTCTTGGCTGTGATTGCTTGCCCGACCTCCTATGCTTTATGTCGGACTCACAATCCCTTGCGGTCGGTCCGTGGCGTTTTACGGGGAGAGGTCTCCAGATCCACCCCAGGAGGACCGGCCTTCCGAGACCTCTTCACGCTCTCTAAAGCCCCCTTGCCCTGCCCACTGCAGACTCCTGCACCCAGCAGCCACCGCCGCCGCCACCACCCTCCCGCCGCCTGCCTCCCAAGCCTCGCTTGGCTTTCCTGGCAGCGCCGTCCCTAGCAACGGGCCGCGGCGCGCCGGGGCGGAAAGGAGCAGAGGGGAAGGCTGGGGTGAGCGGCTCACCGGCATGCTGCTGCTCCCGCCGCCGCCGCCGCCGCCGCCGGTGAACTCAACGGGGCTGGAAGGCGTCGCTCCGAGGGAGGCAGAAAGCCGGAGGGGGCGTTCACGGCTACTATGTTACCCGTCGGCTCCGCTACAATTGTGAACAATAACGGAAGCCAACGCGCCTGCGCCACCCGGAATGACAGAGCCAAGCAAGCCCCTCCGCTGCTCGGCGTCCTGCAGAGGCACCTCAGCCAATAGGAAAAAGGCTCCAGCCGGTGCTCCTCTACATGGTAGCCAATGAAAGGACGAGGATTGATGGGGAGGCAGAGGGAGAAGGCAGAAGGACGTGAGTCGCCCGCGGAGGAAAGAAGAGCCGGGGGAAAAGAGGGCTCGGAGGCGAAGGACAAGGCGGGAACCGCTGGCTCTTCGCTGCCATCTGGGGATGAGGGGGCTGGAGGCTAAAAGCGAATATGAAGAACGGTTGCAGGAACTGGGCATCGCTAGTCTAGTGAAGAGGACCAGGAATGACATGTTCCAATATTTAAGGAGCTGCCACAGAGAGGAGGGGAGTCGCCCCGTTTTCCAAAGCACCTGAAGGCCAGACAAGGAATTATGGATGGAAACCGATCAAGGAGAGATACAACCTGGAAATAAGGAGAAATTTTCTGACAGTGAAAGCACTCAACCAATGGAATGGCTTGCCTTCAGAAGTTGTGGAAGCTTCATCACTGGAGCCTTTCAAGAAAGGACTGGACTGCCATCTATCAAAAATAGTGTAGGGTCTCCTGCTTGGGACGGGGTTGGACTAGATGACCTAAAAGGTCCCTTCCAACTCTTGTTATTCTGATCGCCCAGGTTTTGTAGCATCCATCTGATCGTGCTCGGTTTTGTGAGGCTGGACCATTGGTTGTTTCTCCTGTAAGATGGGAAGAAAGCTGCTTCTCTCTCCAGGGTGATCTCTGTAGATGAACTTGTGGGATGCAGTCTGTTGGCTAGGTTTGGCTAAATCAGATGAATGTCTTGGAATTAACTGGATGGGAAGAGTGGACATTATTTGTAACATCTGCCAGCCTGTCCTCTGTGTGTGTGTGTGCGTGAGAGAATCTCCATTCCTTTACTTCTTTCCTCTTTTTCAGCCTGATTGGGAAAACATGGTTAAACAACTGTCACGGAATCAATCAACGTGGGACACTCTGTAAAAAAATCTATTGACAATTCTTCAGATCAAGAAGTCTATGGAGATTCTCAGTCATCTAGGTCATGGTTGTCCCAAAGGTGCTTTTTCAAGAGGCAACTGGGATTTCAACAAGATTGGTGGCTTCTTTTCTAAAGTTGTATAATGCAATCATCCTGCCTGGTGTGTGTCTCTTTGTTGGAGGGGGTCTAGATATTATTCATTTTCATTCCTCCATTTTTATTCCATTTCTGTATTTTCCCCCCTGCAAAAACAATTAAGGTGCTCTGTTTTCATTAGAGATACTTGGTGCTGTCTGTATGGAATCAATCTGCTGTGCTCTCCCAGTGGGATCTTTTATCTTACTCCTTTCTATCCTATTGAGCACAATGGCCATAGAAACCAAGTGTAAAAGACAGAAAATAAGGAAATACCTACCTAGCTGCTCAAACTGGGTAGTGGGCAGCAGATCCTGTTTTTTGCTTCCCTAATTATCCACTTGGGGCTGCATAAAGTAGAGAACCACGAGATGGCAGTAAAGATGAATTTTGTTTATTTCTTTCCTGCTCTAATCTGATCACCATCCTCCTCTGGCTTAATCTTAAAGAAGTGGGTTCTTTGTCATTTCATGTTCCTATTAGCAGGTGCTGAGATAGTAGCTACCTAGTAGCTTATAAATATGACTTTCCCAAACCTTGTATGTAGGATTTTATTTTCCCCATTAAGATGACTGATATTTTTATAGACTCGTAAATTATAGAGGTGAAAGCTGACCGGGCACATTTAAGAATCTAGCAAATTCTGTTACATAATCATTTAACTCAGGATTTCCAGCATCCTTTCCAGAACTGAACTTAAGAACTTTTTGGACACAGTTCGAATTTTGGAGCAATGACCCATTGCCAATGTTATTGCTAAAACATAGCTAAGTGGTAGACAACTATGGCCCCTATATGATTTGTGGACTTCAACTCTCAGAATTCCTGAGCCATGATTGGCTGACTATGGTTGGCTGAAAAATTCTGGGAGTTGAAGTCCACAGTTTGTAAAGGGGCCGTAGTTGCTCATTCCTGGCATAGCTTTATCCAGGTCTCACGGGATTTGAACAATTTATCTTCTCTGCCTTGCTAAATGTAACAACAAGATTTCCTGGATCCATAAACTGATAAATATATATGTTACACATGTATGTAATGTCCTTTATAAAAAAGAATCACAAAAATATTCAGATTCAGTTGGTACACCTTTTTGCTTATTAATCCACATCTATGAAATATTCAGAGAAATAAAGCAATATGATTAATACAAAAACAATGAATAAAGCAGTATTATCATTTTTAAAAAGCTGTTGAAATATGTGATTCTATAGCTCACCAGTGTCTTTGAGGTCATTACAATTGGTAATTCTTAGGAAAAGAAGAGGAACAGCAATTAATCAGAAAATACAGTATTGCAGTGTTTCAAAACCATGCAACACGTTATTATTTACTTACGCACATTCAAATTAGACTGAAGATAAACAAATTTAAATGTAGCTGTTTAGCCTTTGGGAGAAAACTTAAAATGATGTGCCAAAATGTAAAAACCTGACATACTGGTTAAAGTCAAGTAGGTGGCTGTTTTTACAGTTCCTTCACTGAGAATTTCAGAGTTTAATTGTAGAAAATAAACAAAAATCAATTAACAGAATAAAGCAAGCATCCGTTTCCATTAATGACGTATTACTGATACAATGTGTTGACAGGCATTTCCTGAATTGGCATTTAACTTATTTTCAAGGTCATCTGGATACATCATCAGTTTTCTGCAGCCTAGATCGGTTTTAAAATTTTATTGAAAAACTATTTTTCAAATGTTTTCATTTGAACACCGTTGTGTTCTAAAATGTCAAAAACAGAAAAAGTCTTAAATGAAACACATATTGTATGTGGGGGTGGCTCATAATATATATTTAATAGATGTGCAGTTTAGGGAACCTAAAGTTAAACCTACGAGCTTCACAATCTTAAATCTTTTCCATAGATACAATAGGATGGAAATGGGATACAATGGGATTTTTATAGATTATATAGTCACTAGTGAACAATGCCTGGTTATTCCAAGATATAATTTCTTTTACTATACATAGTATGAACTACTCTAACTGCACGTCGTTGGTTTTAATGGAATTTAGTTTTTTTTTAAATTTTAGCAATTATTATATTAGTAGTATAATATTACTAATCCCAGGGGAGGGGGAAATTGGAGCCACAATAATTCTTTGTTAGTCTTCTTTTCAACAATAAAACAAGGATCCCCAATTTTTATAACTTAAGGTGCAATAGATGAATGGGCTCAGCAGTTGTTTCTTCAGAGATCTGAGCAGATTGGCAAAATCATGAGAGACTGACTAGTTATACACACGGATGCACAAAACACTATTGTTAGGGAAGCCAGCTGCAAGTTTCTTCACACGTATGCACATTTATTTAATTATTCCATTTATATCGTAAATGTAACTTTATGAAGCCAACAGTATTAAAATAAATAGAATAAAATATTAGAAATATTTTAGAATTAGAAAATCAACAATGGGCATCTATACCCAAACAAAACAATTAAGAGGTCTCTCAACTGGCCATCTAAACTCCCGATCAACAGGGACTGGAGCACCTCCAGATTAACATTTTGTGAAAGACCAGCAGGATCTGGGTTAATCTGATCTCGGGATATGATGTTCCAGACATAACAAATTCCAAAAATCCTTAAATATTTTCCCAGAGAATGACTTGTACTTTTTCCTAAAAATGTGGCATATCTATACTACCATATTTAAAGCCAAAGAATCCTTCTCTCAGGCAGCATGACATTTTAATCAGGACTTGTATTTAGAAGACAGGAGAATGGATATCAAAGAAACAGCAATAGCGCTTAGACTTATATACTGCTTTACACAGTGCTTTACAGCACTTTCTAAACAGTATATAGAGTCAGCCTATTGTCCCCAACAATCTGGGTCCTCATTTTACCAACTTTGAAAGGATGGAAGGCTGAGTCAACCTTGAGCCTGGTGAGATTCGATCTGCCAAATTGCAGTCAGCCGCAGTCAAGCAGAAGTATCCTGCAGTACTGCACTCTAACCACTGCGCCAAAATGTCTTCCACTTCAAATAATTCAATGAACTTTCTGAGGAGGGAATAATTGGAAATTGGAATCAACCTCCCTAAATGAGTTCTCTATAAAGAAGCTTGGGTATGCTTATGACTTGATTTTTCAGAGCAATGAATATACCTGTCAACACAATTCTTTTGCAAAGGCCACTGAAGGCTTATAAAATAGCATGAGGGCTTTCTGATATTAGAGTGTCTTCCTAAGGTAAGAAGGTACTTTATCTGTAAAACTCACTAAAATTGAAAACATCCCAGTTTCATTTTTCTAAATACAGGGAACCAATCATTATTTCCTTATTTCATCTTCTAAAGTAAACTCTGAGCAAACATCCTCTGCGATCTATTTGCAACATATGGTTTCTCAAAAGGTTGGCCCAGTGGTACTTTTTGTATGCACCCCGTTGTTTAAATGGATGTACTGATTTGCATTTGCGAATGTACCTTTTTTCAGGGATATGAAACAAACATGTTGTTTTCCATAAAAGGGAATGCCAACCTTGGTTATTCTAGCTAAGTCTGCATAAAACTCAAAAGGCTGAGATTTGATTCTTTTTTACAGTCTTCCTGGCCAAACTGGTGATGGTTTCCAGATGTTTGACCTAGAAACAATATAAGAGAGACACCAAGGCTGGGTTAGCTGAGAATTATTGGAACTGTCTCTTCCCATGAATTTCTGCAATAAATTTATTTCAACTTCAATAGACCTGAGACAGGACAAGTTCAAAAAATTACAGGTAATCCTCAATTTACAACCACAATTGATGATAGCAATAAAAACAATACAGGTAGTCCTCGAGTTATGACCACAATCAAGCCCAAAATTTCTGTTGCTAAACAGGACATTTGTTAAGTGAGTT